TTACTAAGCATTTCTATCCTCTGACCCAGTAGTTAGGAATCCAGCTTCAAAAAAGATCAATACTCAAATAACACGAAACCCAAAATTTGAAATAAATGGGAGAGGAAGAAACAGGATAAGCCAAGCGTGATCATCACTGAGGCTGGATGATGGTTACATGACAGTTCTTTATTCTGGTTTGGTTGGGTTTTTTTGGTCTGCTTTGCTATATGTTGTAAATTTGCCATGATATTTTTAGAAGAAAGCATCAGAGATGCAAAGATTTGTATGAAAGATGTTAATTTTTAATAGCAAACCCATGCAAATGGCAAAAAAAAGCGCTATGCTGGGATGGTTAACAAATTATGCTGCACCCAAATCATGGAATATTATGCAGCCATTAAAAATGCAAGAGTGTTTTTGTGACGTGGAAAAATGTTTACAGTGTGATACGAAGCAAATAAGTAGAAATCAAAATTGCATATGTAGTATTTAACTAAGTATGTTAAATAAAAAGTGCATAAGTGTGCCTGGGTGGCTCAGTTGAGCATCTGATTCTTGGTTTGGGGTCAGGTCATGATCCCAGAGTTGTGAGATCAAGCCCTGCATCAGGGTGGAGCCTGCTTAAGATTCTCTCTCCCTTTCCTTCTGCCCCTCCCCACTCATGCTGGCTCTCTCTTAAAAAAAAAAATAAAAAAGTACATAGAAGGAAGACTATATGGAAATACACTAACACGTTTGTTATACAGTGAGACTGGGGTGATTTCTATTCTTGACAATTGCCCTTTATTGTCTTAATTCTACAATAAGCATGTCTTTTATAAATAGGTTCCAAAATTGCCTTTGTGAAAGTATACCAACTTGGGGGTCTGAGATATATTCAACTCCAAGGACTGCCATGTATTACTTGTGCAATGTTGAGCAAATTCACATCTGGGTCCCAGATTCCTCACCTATAAAACTGGCATAACACCAACCTATTTTTCAAGCCACCAGTTACTGGGTATTTACTATGTGCTAGGCACTCTGGTTGCGGGGGTTTTCCCCATATACAATCACACACGCCATTCATACATAACCATTTCAATCCTCACAACAAGCTCTGGAGTAGATTAGGGTACTGCCATCTTAGAGCTACGTGAGCTGTGGCTCAGGAAAGTTAGGGAAGTGCTCAGTTTTATCCAGCTAATAAGCAATACAGTTGGGATTCAGACATAGGCCTGTCCATCTTTGAAAGCCCTGTTCTCGGCCCTCCAGCCTTGGCTGTTTACAGTTGCATTTCTGTTGGACTGAATGAAGTAATGCAGGTAAAGTCCCACACATGGTGCCTGGCTCCAAGCACAGAGCTGCTCTACTGCTTCGTTCCCTATTCTAGGACCACAGCATAAGGGTAAATTGTGGCAAAACAAACCAGCACACCCTCCAAAAAAAAAAGTTTAAAAGGGATTATAGGATCTGCAGGAACCAACCAGATGGGCTGGAAGACTGCCTCACTCAGGGAGATAGGGAGGCTGGGACAGTGTCCTGAGTTCCAGGGTAGTTCTGCCAGTGACTTCTTCAGGGCTTTAGCAGCTCTACACGTTGCTTTGCAGCCTGGAATTCAGTACAGAATCACTCTACCAAGGAGGCATCGCTTCCTACATTCCACTTACCCCTCCCACCCTTTCTCCCTAAAGAACAGGGCGCAGGTCTCACCAGGCCTGTAGATTTCTTATTCTCCCCCTTTCTTGAAGAACAGGAAAATCTTAGGGGCTGAGCAGGATGGGGCCCTGTGTGGAGAAGGAAGTCCTGCATATCTGAGGGTGAGGATTGTGAAGGAGGCTGGCCTGCTCCAGAATCCCTTCTGGATTCATCTTTTAAGATGCCTCTTTCCCTAGGGAGCCAGCCTAACTTAGTTTCCATCTCTACTCCCTAGTCTACCCCTCCAAAGTTTTATAGCACTAACTACGCTAGAGTTACTGGTTAGTTGTGTTTCTTTTTTTTTTTTTTTTAAATGTTTATTTCTGAGAGAAAAAGACAGCATGAACAGGGGAGGGTCAGAGAGAGAGGGAGACACAGAATCTGAAGCAGGCTCCAGGCTCTGAGCTAGCAGTCAGGACAGGCTTGAACCCACGAACCGTGAGATCATGACCTGAGCCGAAGTCGGATGTTTAACTGACTAAGCCACCCAGGCGCCCCTGGCTAGTTTTTTTCCTAGTATAGTTTTTTGCTAGTAAGCTCCGTGAGGAGGATCCTAGATCTCTAGCACCTAGCAATGTGCCTGGTCCACAGTAAACTATGTAAATGTTTGCTAAATGGAGAAATGGAGGGAGGGAAAGAGGGAGGGAGGGAGGGAGGAAGGGCCTCTTTACCAATTAGACTCACAGCTGCCCTGTTCTGTGCGAAGCATTTTGAAGATGTGATCCATGCCCTGGAGACTTAAAATATACACATTTCTCCAACTCTGTATCCACCTTTAGGAAAATACGTTGCAAGGGAAATTCCTGTTTATTCCAAACCTCATGCTCTTTATTTTACTACAGTACTCAAAATGGAGTGCCTGAGTCTGAGGGAGGTTCCCAGGTAGATGGAATCTGGAGAGGAATTACAGGATTCAGAGGTCTAAAGTCTAGTGTTCTAATCCTAGCTCGGCCACCTCAGCTGTGTAACCTCCAGTGAATGACTTTCCCTCTGGGCCTCAGTTCTCTTTGTAAAATGACGGATGGACCTGATTTTGTATGAAAATAAAAGCAGTTAGGTACATCTGACTATTTACCCCACAGTGTGTAATTGGACAGTGCCTTCCCTCCTAAAAGCTTAGGTGCCGGATAGATGCATCAAGAAGCTGAGGGGCAGGAAGACAGCATGGGCCTACTTCAGTCTGGAAAAAGGAAGGCCCAGGATGTCCTGCCCTCTAGTGAGTGGTCGGGGGGGCTGGTGGGCCAAAGGGAGGCTTGCCACAAGAAGGGCCCACCCAAACATGTCCATGTGTCTTAGCCCCTAGGTTTACAAAAAGCTCCAAAGCCCCAGAGTCTTCACGGCACTACCAAGCATGAACTCCTGCTCACCATTCAAAAACAATACATGCCTCATGCCACCCTCCCCTTTCGGAGAGAAAATCCAGGGAGAAGTAGCTGATGGGGGTGGAAGATGGTGAGATCTGGAAAAGCACTGGCGAGGCCAGGCTTCCTGCAGGGCCCCATTTCAAGCTTCCTCAGAAAGTACAAGCAGGGAAGCCTTCTGGTCCCGCTGCAGCAGTCACTGAGGGAGGACAGTGGGCTTGGTGGACACAGACATCCATGCCCAAAGGCTTTGTGGCTTCAGCCCAAGCAGCTGGCAGGTTCATCCTTCTCCCTAGAGCCCCACAAACACCACTTCCGGCCCTCCTGTTTCTGCTTGGGCTCTTGCTGCCTGGATTTCTAAGCCCATGCCAGTCCTTCCCTGTGCAGAGCTTTCTCTCTCCCTTACAACCCTTATTCACTCTCTATTTCTTTCTCCCTCCTCCTCCCCTTCTTCTCTCCTCCTTGCCGATCCTCAGCAGCCCCAGAATGGGTTTCCCCCCTTCCCCCCACCCCCACAGCATCTCCACCTCCTTAGCTCTCACCCCTGCACCTCTTTCTTTGTATTCCTCTGGCCCTCTCCCGGCCTCGCCTGTATCTCTCCTCCCCCGCCTGCCTTCAGCCTCCCCCAGCCTCCCCATCTTCAGCTCAGTCTCCTCCCTCTCGCTCTGCTCCCCTCCCCTCTCTCCCCCCCACCCTCGGTCTCACCCCAATCCCCGCCAGCATCCCTGGGTTTCTTTCCACCCTGGGGGTCTCTGTGCCTCTCATTCTCCTCTCTACCTGCCTTGCGCTCACCTCAGGTTTAGCCGCCACCCATCCTTTCCTGCCTGGGCACCCCCCACACACTGCTAACATCGCCACTGTCTCTTCTTCCTCTCCTCCTCTCCCCACCCTCTCCTCTTCTCTCTTCTCCCTGCCCCTTTAAATCTGCCTGGCCCAGCCTCCCCCGTGATGCTGGGATGGAGCAAACATTGATTTGTGCTCGGATGGAATCGGAATTTTGATTTTTTTTTCCTTTCCCAACCATAAGAAGGAAAAAAATAATAAAAACACCTCCTTTTGATAGACCCCTCTCCCTTCCCATCCAGTTCCCAGCTCCTCTTCCCTATCTCCATCCAAGGCAAATTTTTTCCCCTCCACTATTCTCATTCCCCCCCTGCCACTACCTCGCCCCCCACCCCCACCGCCTGCTCCTCCAGCTGGGGAGAGAGGGGACTCTCTCTTGCCGCTCTCCCACCTTCGCTCTCTGGGTAGGAGCAGTCTCTCCGGAAGGGGAGGGGGCTTTGACTTGCCCGGACGAGGTGGGAGTGGAGGTATCCTGCCATGGATGCTGTGCCGGGGAGGCAGCCTGAGCCCCAGCCCACATGGTGAGTAACCTGCCCCCTCCCTTCCGCCTGTCTGCCCATCCCCACCCTCGCCTTTTCCCTGCAGAGCCTCCTCCATCCCCATCCTTTCCCCCACCAAGCCCACTGCCCACCTTGCTCGGATCCCCCCCCCCTACATTTTCACCCCACCCCCACCCCTTGCCTGGGAAGCCAAAGATCTGGGGCCGAAGGGTCCTGACAGCACCCAGAGGAGCGGGTGGCCTAAGACTTTGCCCAGCCCCCTCTCAAGACCCCCCGCCCCAGCAGCTGCCGTCCACACTCGACACTTTGGGGGTCTAGGCTGAAGAAGCGGGACGCCCGCTTGGGGTTGGGGCCCCAAGTCCTGGGAGGGGCTCTCTACAAGGAGGTAGGGGTGGGGGAGCCCCCATGCCTCCGAAGCTTAGGAGCTGCTGGAAGATGCTGCCGACGGGTGGGGGGTTGGGGGGCGGTGCTGATGCCCCAGAGCCACTGGGCCAGGGAGCGGCGGGCAAAGAGGAGGGGCCTCGCTCGCCACTTCCCCCCTCTTTCTCCGCAGCCACTCAGGATGAGGGTCCGGCCCTGCCAGCCCGCGCTGGGGCCCCCCCGCCCGGCCCCGGTCTAACTGCCCCCGCCCCCAGGCCTCGCCCGGCTCGCAGGCCCCCAGCCGGCTCTCCAGCCCCAGGATGCGCTGAGCCGCCGGGGGGCTGAGGCCGCGCCAACTACATGCATGTCCCCCGGGGGCAAGTTCGACTTTGACGACGGGGGCTGCTACGTGGGGGGCTGGGAGGCGGGGCGGGCACATGGCTACGGCGTGTGCACGGGGCCCGGCGCCCAGGGCGAGTACAGCGGCTGCTGGGCGCACGGCTTCGAGTCACTGGGCGTCTTCACGGGGCCCGGCGGACACAGCTACCAGGGCCACTGGCAGCATGGCAAGCGCGAAGGGCTGGGCGTGGAGCGCAAGAGCCGCTGGACGTACCGCGGCGAGTGGCTGGGCGGGCTGAAGGGGCGCAGCGGCGTGTGGGAGAGCGTGTCGGGCCTGCGCTACGCCGGGCTCTGGAAGGACGGCTTCCAGGACGGCTACGGCACCGAGACCTACTCCGACGGAGGTGCGGGGCCCGGCCCACTACTGTCTGTCTGCTCGTCCGCGTGCGCCTCCCCGTCGGCCTGTCCCGCGTGCGCCTTCCCCACCATCTGCATCCGCACGCCGCTGTCCTCCCGTATGCCTTCCCCATTCATAGGCGCCCCGAGCGCCCATCTTGTTGCCTTCTCCTCCCATCGCACACGTCTCCCTCATTTGTCTGGCCCCTGCCTGCTTCTCCCTCTCCCCAGCCTGCAGTCTGCCTGCCCTCACCTCTTCCCTGTCTGCCTGTCCTCCCCACCTCCATCTACCCGACTCTCACACCCTCCGTCTGCTTGTCCCTTGCACCCCTCCCCTCTGCCTGTCCCACACCTCGCCTCTCCACCTGCCTGCCCATAATACTTCTGCTCTGCCTGTCCCCTCACATTTCCCCAGTCCGCTTGCTCCTCATAGTCCTGTCTGCCTGTCACATGACTATCTTAAACACCCGTCAGCCTGTGCCTCACACCCTCTGGACTACTGTCCTTCACACACCCCAGCCTGCCCGTCCCTCCCCCTTTCCCTTGTCTACCTGCACGCCCCAAATCCCCAGATCTCCTGCTACCTGTCGGTCTTCACTGCTCTTCCACACCTTTTGACCCAATCTGGCCTGTCCCAGCTCCTAGTGCTCTTCCCCGACCTCCCCGCTCACTGCCCCCACCTCTCCCTCCCGACACTTAGGCCTTCAGGGGCGCTTGGGGCCTAGGGTGCAGGAAGCAGCGGATCCTGACCCTTTGTCCCCGTCCTACCCCGCCCGCAGGCACCTACCAGGGCCAGTGGCAGGCCGGGAAGCGCCACGGCTACGGGGTGCGCCAGAGTGTGCCCTACCATCAGGCGGCGCTGCTGCGCTCGCCCCGCCGCACCTCCCTGGACTCTGGCCACAGCGACCCCCCGACACCGCCCCCGCCCCTGCCCCTGCCGGGCGACGAGGGAGGCAGCCCGGCCTCAGGCTCCCGCGGCGGCTTCGTGCTGGCCGGGCCGGGGGACGCTGAAGGCGCGTCCACCCGAAAGCGCACTCCCGCGGCCGGCGGGTTCTTCCGCCGCTCGCTGCTGCTCAGCGGGCTCCGGGCGGGCGGGCGCCGCAGCTCCTTGGGCAGCAAGCGGGGCTCCCTGCGCAGCGAGGTGAGCAGTGAGGTGGGCAGCACAGGACCCCCGGGCTCCGAAGCCAGCGGGCCCCCGGCCCCGGCTCCGCCCGCCCTCATCGAGGGCTCTGCCACTGAGGTGTATGCGGGCGAATGGCGCGCCGACCGGCGCAGCGGCTACGGTGTGAGCCAGCGCTCCAACGGGCTGCGCTACGAGGGCGAGTGGCTGGGCAACCGGCGGCACGGCTACGGACGAACCACCCGCCCGGACGGCTCCCGCGAGGAGGGCAAGTACAAGCGCAACCGGCTCGTGCACGGGGGGCGTGTGCGCAGCCTCCTGCCTCTGGCCCTACGGCGGGGCAAAGTCAAGGAGAAGGTGGACAGGGCTGTCGAAGGCGCCCGTCGAGCCGTAAGCGCTGCGCGCCAGCGCCAGGAGATCGCCGCTGCCAGGTGGGCATCCGCTGCAGAGGCCAAAGCTGGGCTAAGTGGAGAAGGTACCCTGGGGACTCTTGAGGGGAGGGGGTGGTGCCTAAAGGAGGGCCATGACCAAAGGCCTAGAGCCCCGGGGGGAAGAACAGGCCTAGGGCCAAGCAGTTGTAGCCCTGGATACTGGGAGTGTTTATATCTGAGGCTACAGGTGGATGTGGGTGTAACTGTGGGTGGCTGGGTATTTGAGGGAAGCCGTGTTAGACTATAAGTGTGCCTTAGTGTCTTTTGTGGGGATGTGTGTCATTGTTGTGTGTGGGAGTAGCAATGAGCGCTGGCTTATGCAGGCTCAGAAACCTCTTGGAAGTCAGACATGTCCCTGGTCTTCCTCTAGCAGCTGGGGGCAGCAGCCTTGGGCAGGGAGACAGGGAACGGGCATCCCTAGCCACATCCTAGCCTGCCCACAGACTGATAGAATTTCAGCTTTGGGCCTTCGGCAGATCTAGTTTGAACAGCTGATCTGTCCACATGAAAAGATAGTTCCTGTCAGCTTTGCCTCCCTGCCTTCCTTTATCCAACTGAAAAGGTTTGAGGGGAGGAGGCTTGCCTGTAAATGAAATTTTCTTTCTGTAATTCAGCTTGCACTTCCATGCATCAGAAACCTTATTATCTAAAACAGCACTGTGCAGTAGGAATATAATGTATGCCAAATATGTTACTTTAAATCTTCCAGTAACTGTGTGAAAAGATAAAAAGAAACAGGTAAATGAATTTAAATAGTACTTTCTTTTTTTTTTCTTAAGTAAGCCCTAGGTCCAACTTGGGGATTGAACCCAAGCGACCCTGAGATCAAGAGTTGCACACTCTGCCAAGTGAGCCAGCCAGGTGCCCCCTAAACAGTACATTTTTATTTAAACCAGTAGATCCAAATTTTGATCATTCCAACATATAATCAACATAAAATTATTAAGGAGGGATTTTACATTACCTTTTTTTTTTTTTTACTAAGCCTTTGAAATCTAGAATATATTTTATATGTGTAGCACATAATTTCAAATCAGACTAGCCACAATTTAAGTGCTGGATTAGATAGCACAAATCTAAAGAAAGGCAAAAACCCATTTGTAATGTGATTCACAGGCCCCTCATATATAACTCATACATGTAAGTTTTCATATATTGGATTTTCTTTAAAGGGGAGGGGTACAGTTGAAGGATTTTGTTTAAATCTGAGGCTGTTTCGGAGGATTAGGGGCCAAGATATGTCCAAATATGCTTCAGTGAGTTTGTATAATGGGTGACCAAGGTATGTGTAGGAACGTGTCATATCCAAAGAAGATGCCTGAGCCAGAGATTTCTATCTGTAGATACATCTCCGTGTCTGGGTAGTTAGAGTCCAAGGCCTTAAGCCAGGGAAGGGGGAGGGCAGGGCACCAGGGAGCATTTTAGCCTAGATGAGGAACAGGCATGGGCAGGAAAAACTGATCTCAGTAGCTGAGAGATCAGTCAGTGGGAGGAGGCTGGTTGGTCTCCCCAGCAACAGGCCTGGCAAACCTGATTGGTTGCCAGCTGCCATGGAAACAGCAGAGCCTCAGCAGCAGGTGCCTCTGCCAGGTAGCCTGATGACTGGATCTGCTGCCTAGGACTTGCTCATCGACACCCTCCAAACTCAGAAACACAGGCTCTTGTCAGTGTTGCAATTTTTTGGCCACTGATAGAATTCCATGCAACCCAAGACTGTGATCGTCCTCCTCTGCTCTAAACCCTGAGACCAGCTTACTTTCAAAGAGGACTAGTCATATAGAATCTAACAGCCCATAGACAGAAGAACATGGTTATCTGAGGTCCCTCCAAACAGGCTCTAAAAGTCCTTAACCCAGCAGGTTTGAGGGGAGGAGGCTGATCATATCTCCTGAGGTACATAAGGTGGTGGTGGGCTTAAGACTATAAGGAACACCACCACCCCTCTCCCTATCCCCATACCCAGTCTGCCTTCCTAAGCCAGTTGAAACAAGCCTGGGGCCAGAGGGGGCTTGATCCATTTAAGCCCACGTATATCTGATTACCTTTATCTCTGTTCCTTTGTGCCCCACCTTTAGTCAGGATTACAGAATGAATTTAATGATCACAGGGCATCTGTGATTAACAGCAGAGGGTGAAAGGGAAGGTAAATTGAAGAAGCATCTGACATCAGAGGGAGAACTGGGAAACAACCCCGGGGAAAGGACTGATAATGCTTCACAGTGGCCTGTACCCACAGAGCAAGGCACAATGGGAGGGACATATGAAAGGGAAGGAAACTAAGAGCTTACTTGGAGGTATAAGTACCATGGTGAGAACACATGCATGGTAGCTGGGAGAGGAAGTAGGAATAGCAGAAAGGGGGGACCCACGCTTTATCCCAGTTCCAGAATTTAGAAAGGATGTGATGGTGCAGGCAGGCAGAGGCAGTGACCAAGGGGCGAGAAGAGTGTGAAAATAGAAGAGGCTGAAGAAAAGCAGCCCGTGAAATTCTCATGTCAGGGAATCTGCAGGGAAGAGGCGGGGTTAGCAGCGGTAAGGGGACAGGAGGCAAAGACTCTTAGCACAGGGAGCAGGTGGCCCAGAACAAGGTGGCCCAGAACAAGGAAGCTGCTGGGAAGTACCAGGCAGGTGCAACTACAGAGAGATGTGCTAAGAGCATGAGGTCTCCTCTGTCCCTGGCAAGGGAGCAGGATAGGGCTGGGATGACAGAGTTGAGGACAGCCAGGGAGGGCCTGCCCCTGTTGCTGGAAAAAGGGAGGTGTTACTACAGGACATGATGGTGGCAGATATGAGAGGAGCAAAAGAGTGTGATGAGAGCAGGCACGGCCTGGTTTCCAGGTCTAGGAGAGGAAACCAGAAGCCAGCTGCCCTGTCGGGCCAGGAAAGGGAACAGCTGGCAGTGTGTGAGCAAGAGTGAGGACTCCAGAGGTGAGCTCAAATCCAGAGGGACATGATGTGGTGGGGACATGGGCCAGGGGCCTGGAGCATCTGAGCAGGTCTGCTAAGTCCCTGCCCCTGGAACCCGACAGGGCGGCAGATGCCCTTCTAAAGGCAGTGGCAGCCAGCAGCGTCGCTGAGAAGGCTGTGGAGGCAGCTCGAATGGCCAAACTGATAGCCCAGGACCTGCAACCCATGTTAGAGGCCCCAGGTGAGGCGTGGGCAGTCTGGGAAGCTGGAGGGGCTCAGGTGTGGGGAAAGGGAAGGAAGTCCCTGCAGGGGACTGGGGACGGAAAAAGCCAAGGTATGAGGGACCAAGGGGATGAAGAGGGGGGCCAGACTCTGTTGTTTGGGGAATTTATGAAATCTGGTAATAAGGACTAGGGGCTTGGGGTCTGGCTATGAGAGGCTGTAAGCCTGGGGATACCAAAGTCCCAGGAGGTGCCCAGACAGAGGGATAAAGCTATAGCTTTTGCTGCCCAAGGCCACTTAGGCCCCTCTGATTCTTAGCTATCCCTGTCGCAGGCCGCAGACCCAGGCAAGATTCAGAAGGTTCCGACACAGAGCCCTTGGATGAGGACAGCCCTGGGGTGTACGAGAATGGACTGACCCCCTCAGAGGGCTCTCCTGAACTGCCCAGCAGTCCTGCCTCCTCCCGCCAGCCCTGGCGACCCCCTGCCCGCCGGAGCCCACTGCCTCCTGGAGGGGACCGGGGTCCCTTCTCCAGCCCCAAAGCTTGGCCTGAGGAGTGGGGGGGGCCAGGTGAGCAGGCAGAGGAACTAGCTGGCTATGAGGCTGAGGATGAGGCTGGGATGCAGGGGCCAGGGCCCAGAGACGGTTCCCCACTCCTCGGAGGCTGCAGTGACAGCTCCGGAAGTCTTCGAGAGGAGGAAGGGGAAGATGAAGAGCCCTTGCCCCAGCTGAGAACCCCAGGGGGCTCTGAGCCTGAGCCCATGGCCACGCCAGTCCTGAGGGGCCCATTCTCGAGGGGTCCTGAAGCCGGGTGCCTGATGGAAGAGTTTGAGGAGCCTGCTGCAACAGAGAGGCCCGCCCAGCCGGTGAGATGCCCTCCGTCCCTGCTTTGTGGCCCCTTTTCTCCTCAGAGCCTTGCCTCTCATCCTTTCCAGACATCTCTCTGATCCCTTCAGGGCCTCCGATTTGGACTCAGCTTCCTTTCTGCCTGCCCAGTCTTGGACCATATCCCACCTAAAAAAAAAAAAAAAAAGGGAACTTGTGAGCTGCAAGCAACCTTAGAGACCTTCATCTCCAGCTCCCTTATTTGACAGATGGGGGAACTGAGGCCCAAAGCACTTAAAGTAATTTGCCCAAGGTTACCACTGAATAATGGTAGAGCCAAAACATCTTTCCCTGTTCTCCTTCCATATAATTTCCAGCTCCTGGTTTCCTACTCCACCCCCACCCCCACCTCCACAGTTTCTCTCTTTGGTGCCCAGAATTAAAAAAGGAAAAGCTTGTTCCCTCCCTACCCTGACTCTCCCTCCCTCTCCTGGGAAGACGGGAAATGGGAAAGGAGGCAGAAAACTGGGAGGGGTGGAGTTTCCCCAGAACCCTCTACTCTGATTGGACCCCAGACCTCTCCTGTTTCCTAGCAACCACATCCTCACCCCTTCATCCCTCTGCTTTACTGCAGTACTGGCTGCTGCTGCCAGCGTCTGCTACTAAGGCCAGGCACCTTCTGCCTGGGCCACGTGACATGCTAGTGGGAGGGGAGGGGAGGGAGGAGGGAGGAAGGGCTGTCCCTAACTTGAGGGAGCCTGAGAGAAGGCAAGGCCCTCCTGCGAGAAGAGAGGTGTTTCTGCAATCCAAAACAAAGGTTGGAGATGCCCCTGCTCCCACCTCTGAGGAGAGGTGCCTGGGACCCTTCAGCTTTGCCACTTGCCAGGGCAGGAAGTTGGGACCTGTCGTTGGACATGGTCCTTAGGGACTGAGACTGCATTTCCCCTCATCTCTCTAGGGAGCTGCCAACCCCCTGGTGGTGGGAGCCGTGGCCCTCCTGGACCTCAGCCTGGCGTTCCTGTTCTCCCAGCTCCTCACCTGAGGCTCCTGCCCGGCCTAGTTCTGGCTTCAGTTGCTGCCTCTTCCCTTCTTTGACCTGCCTTTTTCTCTTTTCCTCCTCCTGGTTGTTTTTTCTCCTATCTTTCTTTCTCTTCTCCCTTCCCTTTCTTTTCTGTCCCCCTTTGTTTTTGTCTTTTGCTTTTTCTTTCCAGCTCTCCTTTCAGATTCTCTCATTTATTCTGGATCTGTCTCTGTCTTCCTCACTCTCTTCCCCACCCTGCCCCACCTCTCTCTCTAGATTGTTTACATATGAAGGGCTTTTCTCGCTCAGAGTTGCTCTCTTCTCTGAGACACACAAATCTAAGTCAGACCATTGCCCCATGTCCTCCCCGCCTTTTCTTTAGACCTGGACTTCGATGAGGGTGGGGGTCTGGTGTCCTGAGGGGTTTCCTGGAAGCTGAGTGGGAAGGAAGAAGAAAATGGAGAAGGGATGACTGTATACTGGGCAAGGCACTGGCTGGGCTGCTGCGGCTCCCTGACCCAAGGGGCCTGGTGTCCCTCTGAGGCCTAGTGGAAGAGCTGGAGGAGGTGTGGCCTCCATCTCTGACTTTGGAGGATCCGATCTCACCTCCAAGCACTGAGCTAGGTTCTTGCCTAACTCCATCCTTCCCTGAAGGAGCTAAGGGAGACGAAAAGTAGAATGACTCCCAAGGATCTCCCTCTTCCTTTACTCAACAGCCAGCCTCTCGCCCAACCCCCTAGGGTGGCATGCCTTGTCAAGACAACGTGTAAAGGAAAGAAAATGTCTAACGCAGTCACGTCTACCCACTGACCTCTCCCACCCTCTTCTCCACCCCCCACCCCCGCCCTACAATGTATTTGGTTGGTCTGGACTCACTTGTGGCCTTTGATTAGATTTCTACGGGGCCTGAAGAAGATATTTCTACTGCAGAGGGTTAGAGGCACTTGAGCTAGGACCCCACTCCCCAACTCAGTTGTGGCGTGTGGGTTGCGGGGAGGCGTTTCGGGGAACACAACCAGCCTAGATAAGGGGAACTCACAGAGCAGCAGAAGCTGTGACAAGTTTAGTAGTCTCTAAGTGGGTTATATCCCTTCCCCCATCACATCAGGATCTTGTGAAATGGGAAAACAACAGAAAAGAGGGATCAAAGGAAGCCAATCTCTCACACACTTTCCAGGCAGGGCAGAGGTGGAAGTCAAACCAGGGTGAGAGGTGGGTTGAGAGCCCTGTTTGAGATTGTGGCTGATCCCTGTTAATAGCTTTCCCCTGGGGGCAGGAAGCCCTAGAAAGAGGGGGACCCCTCTGTAGGGTCCTCAGGGGATCTTTCCTCCCTCCCCTGCATGAGGCAGACGCAAGCTGCCTGCCAACCCCCTCCCTCAAGGAATGGCCTTGCCTGGGAATGCCCACCACACATACCCTCTTCTTTTTTTCTAGTCAAACTCTGTTTACTCCTTGGCCTGCCTCCCTCCCTCCCCTCTAAACCTTTACTTCTGATTTCTATTTCATGGAATTTGGGATTGAAGTTAAACTACAGTGCCGCCAACACCAAGTCTTGCAGGAAAAAAATACAAAGAAATTTAACAAAAAAATATATTAATAAAAAAGTTCAAAAAAGGGGGGGGATTGTCATCTCCTTTGGGGTGCGATGGCTTCAAATCCAAGCTCTCTGAGGCTCTCCGGGTGCTGAGAATGTACAAAGAGACCTCTTGGGGAACCCCAGGCATGCCAAGCAGTCTTACTGCCAGAAGAGCTCCTTCCCCCTAACTCCAAAGCCTGAGGCCTGAGGTCAGAGTATTCTAGATGGCTCAGTGGGGCTGCCCGGGAGGGGCGGGGTCCCGTGATAAGGGCGGGAAGAGGGAAGGACCGGCCAGTCGAAGGACCAACCCCCGTCGGGCCTTGTACCAGGAAGTGCTGGGGGGAGAGGAGCGGAGTTGAGACAAGCCAGGTGAGGCTGTCGTTAGGGCTGGCGTCCAGGTGTGAAGCTGAGGCCGCCTGAGGTGTGACCCTGGGGAGGAATCCCGCGAAAGAGGTAGCGCAGAGCCTTGAAGGGAAATGAATGGCGGGGCTAGGGATGGGAAACCAGGTGGGGCCGGAGGATGGGGGGTGGTGGGGAGTGGAAATAGGCGGGGTTCTGGCGCATGCTCAGTACGAAAGGGCGCGGGGTGGGGCGGCCACGCATGCGTGGTGGCGAATATCCTCCCTCACTGAGGAAGGGGCGGATGTGGAGACCCACGTGGGGAAAGGTAAATGTGGGTTTGGTTTTAGGGTAGCTTCGAGATTCAGTCCCTCAGGATCTTGGCACAGGGCAAACCTGGGCTAGAAGGCCTGGCACTCGGCCCGAGAGGTTTAAAGCCCTCTCCATTTCCGGGCTCTGCCCCTTCAGGATGGTGGTGCCTTCACTGAAACTTCAAGATCTAATTGAGGAGATACGTGGGGCCAAGACCCAGGCCCAGGAGCGGGAGGTGATCCAAAAGGAGTGCGCCCACATCCGCGCCTCCTTCCGCGATGGAGACCCCTTAAACAGACACCGCCAGCTGGCCAAACTGCTCTACGTCCACATGTTGGGCTACCCCGCCCACTTTGGACAGGTATTGGGCAGGTCCACCTCCCTTCTGAGTTTGATGAGAAAGAGTAATGGAGCAGGATCTGGGACACCCCTCCCCCTTACCTAGTTGTGCCCTGATTTTTTTTTTTCCTGCAAAAATTCTGAGCCCTCCCTCGCGGCATGCACTGCTCACCTCCTTCCCCATTACAACCCCGATGGGTCATAAGCTGGTCTGAACTCTTCATTTTCTGGCCAGCCCCATTCAAGTCACCTCCTTTCTTCTCCCATCCTCTTTGACTCCGGGTTCCTTAAAACTACCCACTAGTAGTTGAATTTCCTAAGCCATTCCTCTGGTTGAAGAAGGGTGATTGGAAATGGTGCTACCATAAGTTAATTTGCTGGTAAAGAAGATAGGAAAGGGATGTTAGTGCCTCCGGTTTCACCCCTGCCCCTTCCTGTTCTGCCTCCTTCCCTATAGATGGAGTGCCTGAAACTGATTGCCTCCCCCAGATTCACAGACAAGAGGGTGGGCTACCTGGGGGCCATGCTTCTACTGGATGAGAGGCAGGATGCCCACCTGCTCATTACCAACAGCATCAAGAAGTGAGAGGGGTCTGGGTACCACTTGGAATCAGGGAGATGGGAGAGTGGGGAACTAACTCCCAGGGGGCTGCCTAATGAAGGTCTTGGACTAGATGGATTTCTCAGAGCTTGACTGACCACCATCCCAACTCTGCAGTGACCTGAGCCAGGGGATTCAGGCAGTACAAGGCCTGGCCCTGTGCACTCTGAGCACTATGGGCTCTGCTGAGATGTGCCGGGACCTGGCCACTGAGGTGGAGAAACTGCTCCTGCAGCCCAGCTCCTATGTGCGCAAGAAGGTGAGACAGCAGGACCACAGGCACTTACCCCACCAGAAACTATCCTTTTGGCCATGTGTTATAGGTGGGGGGGGGGTCCATCCTGGCTGACCCCTGCCCTCTTCTGAGCCCCCTGATCTCTGCAGGCTGTTCTGACTGCAGTGCACATGATCCGGAAGGTCCCTGAGCTCTCCAACATCTTCCTCCCACCCTGTGCCCAACTGCTTCATGAGCGCCACCACGGTAAGGCCATGGGGCTCCCCGTCCCCTGCCTTACCTCTGGCTATGGACAGAAGTGAAAAATGGGACGAGAACACCAGCCCATAGGAGAAGGGTGGCATGTGCACACAAACACATGTGCAGTAGACTCTGCCCCTGGCCCACCATTCACTCCCCACCCCCACACCAGGCATCCTGCTGGGCACCGTCACGCTGATCACGGAGCTCTGTGAACGAAGCCCTGCAGCCCTCAAGCACTTTCGAAAGGTGGGCTGGTGAAAGGGGCAGGCCCTGGGCCAGGAAAAGAGGGGCACTGGGGTTGGAATGGGGCTGAAGGTTCAGAGGATTAGGAAGAATGCCCAGTAAGGCTGTGCCCTCCCTCCAGGTGGTGCCCCAGCTGGTGCAGATCCTCCGGACCCTGGTGACAACAGGATATTCCACAGAACACAGTATATCTGGAGTCAGCGACCCCTTCCTGCAGGTGGGCTGATCCTTTCCTGCTGTATCCCTGGAACAGAGGGCTTAGCAGTAAGCCCATGGCTATCGGTCACCTCCCAGAGAACCCTTTGGGTCAGTTAATCTTAGGCAGGAGCATGGCAGACACAGTATTGTACAGGTCATCCTGAGACCAGTGCGGGAAGGGGGATGCCTAAAGGTCAGAAAATCCAGTTTGGTAACAATGACAACACAAAAACCTGTCTCCAGATCGCCTAGCCTCACACACGTCTGATCTCCCAGGACCCAAGGGACCTGTGCAGGGGAGGGAGAGGGGCAGAGAAGCTCTAGGAAACCAGCCAGATCCCTCCTGATAATTTCTTCAGTGTTGGATTTTTCTCCTCAGCCCAACTTCTTACCCTCTGAACCCCTCCACCTTTCAACCTTTAACCCAACTTCAGGTCCAGATACTTCGTCTTCTTCGGATTCTGGGCCGGAACCATGAAGAGAGCAGTGAGACCATGAATGACTTGCTGGCCCAGGTGGGGGGCTGGAGAGTGGGCAGTGGTTAGGTGTGTTGCCCTGAGATCCCACTGGCCCCAGGATTCCTCACATGACCATCCACTCTGTGGTGGCCATATAATCACATCTCCGTTTCCCTCTAGACTGTGATCTCCATGAGGACAGGGACACAGTCTGTCTCAGTGTGGCAGCCGCTGGCACATGGTGGGGGCTCAGGGAACTTTGTTAGATGCTGGAGGGCTGATGTGGTGGATACCTTCCAGAGACCTGAGAGAGGACAGAGCCACTTCTAGCTGCATCTTCTCTCCCATCCACTCAGGTGGCCACTAACACAGATACCAGCCGAAATGCGGGCAACGCAGTCTTGTTTGAGACAGTGCTGACCGTCATGGACATTCGCTCTGCACCTGGCCTTCGGGTATCCTCCCATATGCCTCTCCCACTGTGGCCCCGCCCACCAGCCCCAGCCAGGCAGACAGGTCCTATTCACTGGTTTCTCCTCCCCCGCCCATCAGGTTCTAGCTGTCAACATTCTTGGC